GGATAAAAATCTCGCATAAAGCCGGTACCTCGTCATAACAAAATAATTACATCACAATTACACACAAATTACACAGGTCCGTCTTCCATACTCTCTGTCATTCAGCACCAATGATGATCTTGATCACTAGTTGTCCCTTCTCATCTTTCCCCTTAGCCATAGCCTCGAACGCCTTCTTTACTGCGTCAACATTGAAGGGCACTCGGTGGGTTATGAGATCCATTATTGGCGGTATTGAGTCTGAACAAAAAGTTAGATACATTATGTCGCGAACATGGGAGTGCTTACTGCTAGCAAGTAACTCAAGAGCCTCCTTATACGTGTCTGCATACCGGAAGCTCCCTATTATGTCAACCTCTCTCGTAGCGGCATTGCTTATGGGTATCAAAGCGTTAGGCGTGCCCATTCCAATGAGAAGGACCTTTCCCCCGCTTTTCGCACTCTGATTGACATTAGCTAGAATTCGAGAAACCCGGAAAAGAAGAGGTACCCACATAGACAGCCATTTGAATACACGGTTCAGCACCAGTACATTCATATACGACATCATATCCTCCGCCAAATACCTCCGCTTGGGCTCTACTCCGCTCGAGACCATCAACGCCTTTTGCTGGGGCCTGCGGCGATAAACAAAAGATCTTTCCCACAAGTCCACGGGATTTTGCATATGCCAGCCGTTGTTGGTTAATGTCAACCATGGCAATTGCTTCTACAGGCACGCCCCTTGAACGCGCGAGTCCAGCAGCCAGCATCCCGATAGCTCCAGCCCCGAACACAAGTACTTTGCGCGTGTTTCTCGAGACTCCAGCCCGTTTCGATGCTTGCAATACGACAGACAAAGGCTCGGCGAGTGCTCCCTGCTCGCACGATACCCCGCGGGGCAGCACATGCACATATTTCGCAGGGTGATTTATCCGCGTCTGCATCGTACCATCGAGATGGGGGAAAGTTTTGGCACTGCTCCGGAAGCGCATCCCCTCACAGAGGTTGTACCGGTTAGATCTGCAATATTCGCATGATCCACAAGGAATCCCGGCTTCAATAGCGACGTGCTGACCGGGACGAAGGTGCGTGACGAGAGGCCCAACGGCGGTGATGATTCCCGCTGATTCGTGGCCAAGGACGAGGGGTGCTTGGAGAGCAAAGGCGCCATTACGCGCGTGAAGATAGTAGTGCAGGTCAGACCCGCAGAGCCCGGTAGAGAGAACGGCGATTTGAACGTGATGGGGAGGAGGGGGCGGGAGAGGGCGGCGTGTATAGCGAAGATCGTGTGGGCCGTGTAGAACGAGAGATGAAATGAGGGTGTCCATTGTTGGAGTGGGTCAAGTTGGTGTTCACTTAAATATTCCCCTTTGTCGGAAATTCGGGCCGGAGTGAGACTGGCAGACATATCCCCCCGATTTTGCGAATGTTCTGTTCCTCTATCAAGGTATTGGCTCCGTTAAAAAGGCTGACAGCCCTGAATACAGAGGTTGGTATACTTTACAACCCTCTGAACATGCTTCCTTGGCGACGCACCTACTAGGCCTTCATAGCCAAGTCTCACCCTTGCACGAGATCATAGCTGAGTTCCGCGGTGGCGTGGAGCTTGGGCTTCGGGTCGGTGTCGTTTATTGAGCACTCTGTTCCGTCAAACGGCTAGGTTATCAATTTCTGATTCTCCATGAATGGAAGAAGCTCAAGAAGAACGGGTGCAGGTGGTAATGACGGTGGGTGGCGATAAGCATGTTTGCTTTTTCCTTTAGGACACATGCAAGGCTCGTATCGATTTTTCCATTCTGTGGGACCAGGCCAGGCTGGGTTCCAGGGAGCATGCACATGGCTGAAAACGATAGATGTGGGTTGACGCCTAAAGGCACGGGAATGTCTGAAAAAGAAAACATATCGGACCGTTGTATTCGGACCGTGAGATTTAGGGGGACGGATATGTGGCCCGGTAGGGGCAGGCGCATTTTTTCCCTTCCAGAAGCTGACCCTTCTTCCGAACGAAATTGCGGGACCGATGTGGAAGCTCGGTGTGGGCACGTAACGCCGGTACGTAGCTTCATTCAAGCTGCTAGTGAATCTGTCCGACATTCTGTGCAAGCGGGTGCTGATTAGGTGACGCGCTCTATGCACCCGTTTAACGCCATAATCAGAAAATATTATTCCCCCGCTGTCGGGAGGAGAGGCGACTTTCTGATTCAATTTCTGATTCTTGGGGACTGCCCGAGCCCACTGACCCTTTGTAAAAGCGAAGAGAAGAAAATGGTGGAAATAAGCCATCCCGGATCCACGACAAATTCCTGTGAGGAGCTACCGCGGGTGCCGCGAAATTGAAGCGCGCATGGTTTACCCCAGCTTTCTCGAATTTGGTCTCTCTTCATTGGAAGATTCAACTCTAATTAACTGTCGGTACGGTTCCATCGGTTGAAATTGTTCCTTGGCACGCCATCAAATTGCGCGTAACAAAACATTCAGGCGCTCTTACACCAACTCCCTTCCCTGGACATCTGTCTTTTAAATTGTACAAACACTCCTGAGACTCTATGACAGATACTCGCAACTGTCAATGTGCGCCTACGAATATGTCGACTAGGACCCAATGAAAGACGAGCGGCATGGACTTACTCGATGCTTCCTCTCATACTCGTTTCAGAGAGCGATGACTCCAATACTTCCTCAAGGTCCTTTGTGCATCCATCAGACACGTGCCAGACAATACGTTCTCCTCAAAAATGCATGTACGAAAATTTTTACCTTCTTTTCATATTCGATGGTTGAAACAAATTCATGATTCTCTTTGAAGGTTGATTGGCCGGACTATCGGTGCACCGTTATCAAAAGCGTCAAGCGGGGACCTGAGGTGCGGACGTCGCGCTCGACTTATCCAAGCTCTTTCCGTCTCACATGTGCTTATCTAGACAAGGGTCAGAACACGGATGGAATGAGAATTCGAACAGCCTTTCGATTCATACTTTGGATTTGTGCAGCTTTTTACCCCATGTCAAGGTTAGTTCAATAATCATCTGAATTCGTTCTGATATGTTTTAGATGCATCATACTCTACCGATTCACTTTGCAAATACCCGTTCAAACCAATCGATAAACCGGGATTTCGATGCAAGATATATAGTTCCCGAAGCCTCCGCGGTGTAGACGATGCTTTTGCTTTCATGACTTCTATTTCTCACACTCCGCATGATGCAGGATGGTTACAAAGTGCGTTAAAAACGACCGTGCCTGATGTTTCCGTTCCCTGATTGACCCTTTGACTCAGTGCTCCGCCAGACACCTTTTTGCTCTTACCTCTCCACGCGGTCTTTCATTCTTGATACATGGCTGGCTTAATCGCCGATAGTCCAGTTACGGCAGTTCTCTATAGTGCCGACTTGCTCGGCTCTGTTTGCAAGGACCTTTGAGATATCAACCAAGCACCCTTGAATGGGATACGCATCGATTCTCTCTACTCCTTTGCGCTGGCATACCATTTTGTCTCTGAAACCGCACTCATATATCTTTCCTTGTGCCTTTCAATGGATTTCGATCCTTTGAATCTCTACACATCGCAACTTACGTTTCCTCAATGCATTGCATTCTTCGATTGATTCGCCCGGGATCTCTGACGTCCCTAACGTATACGACACTTGCAGCCAGTCCTATAATGAAATTGGGGGGTTCATGCAAAATTCTCACGTAGAGATTGTTTCTCGATTTCCTTCTCTTCGGACTCTGTCCTTGACTTATCGAACATATGGACATTTGGCTCGGCAGTAATGGGAATCTAATAGTACAAGGTCCATTTTTGAGCCGTTCGACGGCCTCTGGAAACTCCAGACAATCGTTTACAATGTTATGTTCTCCTTGGAATCCTTGACCGTCGAACTCGTCCTAGCACCTGCATGACCGGAGATCAAAGCCATTCATATCCCAGTTCTCGGAGGATGTCGTCCGACATACGAAGTGTTCTGGGCTCTAGCAAAACACTGCCCCCCTCTGAGCGAGCTTTCTATGCCCATCGTATTCCCCAGCGACGACACCCCACTCCAGGATCATCATGGCATGTTTTCTTGGCTTCCAATACGACTTTCATGCTCGGATGGGATATTCCCTTTCCTTGTCTCGATTAGCGGAGGGCAAGGATGGGATCAAGTCGAGTTTATTATCGTGGAGGCATTTCAGCCGGTGCTCAGGGATGAGCAGATGCGCAGTAGGTCGTCTTGAAAGTGGGGAGCACGAAAATCCATGCGTAGTAATTTTTTTTGTTGGGAGAACTACATGTCGGTGCGATTGATAGTTGAATGTATGGGTCCTGTATTCAACCGCGGGTAAACGAAGAGTACTATACAAAGACGTGAATTATTGTCTCCAAGGTTATAACCCGCTTAACTTTCTGGGCTCAGTGGATAATTGCTTATTCTTTCGTTCCTTCACCTCTTTCTCTTCAAATTCCTACACTGTTCTTCCTGTATGAATAAGTGAAGCGAGTCCATTCGCACCCCAGCCGGATTGCCCGTTTCACTTCCAGTTTCATCGACCATACTCATCACTATTTCGGCATCGTGTCCTATGCATTGGCTATTTTCCATGTTCGCATTAGAATCTAGGGCCCACTGGCCTATTCAGATAATGATTACCACTTGTTGTCCGATGACTTGGGCGATGAGAATGTACACAATCCATTAGCGACCCACACCTACCATTCATCTGGAAGCGGCTCTTGGGAAAAGATAGGTACTGGGAAATTCATGGAGCGGAAGGACTTTGTAGTACATCGATCGGTAAGTCGAAAAATGCGAGGAATAAATGAAACGCCAAATGCAACGCTCAAAGATCCGAGGGATGGGAATTCAACATGGAAGGAGCGCAGCAGTGAACCATGATGATTAACGAGAAGTTGGAAGCAGTGGAGACATAACATAAATATATGCCTGGGTAACCTCGAGTTGTGGCGGACGTTCACGCACCAGGTCTGTAGGACCGTGTTCACCATGGCTTTCGTTCTTGAGACTCCCATTCAGTGTGCTCATTGATTATATTGTCTTTCACAAATCCTTGAGTCCAAATCAGAAGCTGCAGGACGTGAGCGGTAATAGTATGTAAACTAGTAATCGGTTTGATATCTCCATAATTAATCTGGGATTATACAAAGACCCCATCATCAAGCTGGGGTAATTGCAAAGCCGTAACCAGCGAATACCGGAGTCCAAGTATGTCCAAGACTCCCTGGAGATCTATTATGTCTGCTGGATGTACGGCGCTCGTCCGTTGGGGCAGGCATCCTAGAATCTTATCAATGACTCTCCCCGCGCCACTTTGGTGGAGTACGTCTGCTACGCATGAATGTGAACGGAGATATTGTGGGTCGGCCTCCTTGATGACGATGACTTCTGGTAGGGGCGCGGCCCATAGGCATTCTCCGTAGGTCTCTACCCTGTATTCGTTGGCGTTCTGTTATAGAAAGTTGATAGATAGATACGTGACATAATGCGATTATTCACTCACCGCAGTTGCCTTGAGGGACATCCTCAAGTCGGTGAAATTTGTGTACGTGTTACGCTCAAGAGCAATGGCATTACTGGGATCTTCCGGGAGTGAATCCAGGTCCAGCGTCGGGAAATAATTCTCTATAATCTCTCGTGTGATGGGCTCGAAGAAGTCGAACTAGTATGTGGCTGTTTCGAGGTGTAGCAAGCACTTGCGGCATTGGTCTTACCTTCTCAAAACCTATGATGGGTCTTTCGAGGATATGAAAAATCCCCAGTGTGCTTGTCATATCGCCTGGAAGTTTAGGATGTCCCATTTCCACCACGCCCGTTATGGGGCAACGATAGTTCTGCTGTCGTAGCAGCTAGGTATGATAGGAGTCAGATACTAGGATGCAGGTGATGTATAAAGAGAACCTGTTGTCGTAGCTCATATAGAGGCGAAGGAAGCTCGTCCTTGTCGGTTTCTTGAACTACCAGTATTGAGTACCAGTTGAACGCTTTAACTATCAGCGCTAGAAATAAGCTGAGATTCAATTTGGTACATGTCAATATACTCACATGGCCATAGGAAATAAGCAAACCACGCCAAGGCCAATTGACTGATGCAATGGGTCGTGCTCGTGTCTAAGTTTCTTTTGCAGGTGTATATAGCTGAACTGACATAGCGAAGACCACGGTCACCACCACTGTTAAAGGCACAGTCTAGCACAGCAGATATAACGGAAATGAGGCTGCCACCCAAGGCAGAGAACCATCTCGGACTATCGCCCTGATAATCCTTGATGAGCTGTCGTGCTTCGGCAACGAGATACTTGGTTGTGTAATTTGGGTCATCCATGATTCTGGCAACATATGGGTATTGATTTGCGTCAATTTGCTGAGTTTTGCCTTCATTCCAGCAGATTTCTTCAACTGATACGTCGCAATTTGAGGTATAGTGGAAGTAGTAGGCTTCAGTCCCTTTAGTCGAATGCAATGTCATGGTAGACTTTGAGTTTTTTAAATAGTTAATTTCGATGTATGTTCACACTTATATAAAATAATAGATAATAAATAATCTTTCAAACGCTCACGTGAAGAAGGAACGGAAAACATTGCAGCCAAGTTTCTTCTTTTCTAACCGCCACGACCGCCTTTCGTTTCTCGTTCCAAGTACTGCGTGCCTTGTGCTGCATATTTATTACGCTTTATTCCTCAAATGTCTAAGTGAGTTCACACCTCTCCTGATCCTGACTATCCTGAGGCTGGACCTTCTCGGCGACGACGACGACTAGACGGTTCGGAGATTTTTCGTACCGCTCAACACACCCTGGAAGATCTTTCTTCCTTGAGCGGGTCTGAGTCTACGGAGCCGGGCTCTTCTTCTGCGGACTGGGGATCGTTCTATGTGGAGCTGGGAGAAACAGCAACAAGTGACGATGCGAAACACCTTATCAGTGATACGACACGTTCAACTGACGAGCTCCTTACACAGGCTCGAGACCTGATCAAAACCTTTCAAGAATCTGACGAGTTCCAGAACGTACCTCTGTGGTTTTTGAAGTTCAATGGCTGTCTCGACAAGGTCTTTACTGCTATGCTGGACACAGCGAGCGAATGTGGTGGGGATGCTGGACTGAGATACGTAGCAAGTGCCATATGCACTTGCGAAGTTGGATATCGAAAGAGTGACTTGAAGACCACGCTTCAGCAGATGAAGACACTTGGATTTATGTGGTTTGCTCATCTTCTATGGCCTTGTAAGTTCTCTTCCCATCGTCTTCTGATTTCACACAACCATGCTGGTTCAGTCAAGGTCTCTAGCTCTTACTCCCGTTTACCACGAGCAGCAGTGGCAAGCAATATCGCTCAACAGGCTATACCGACTAGAAGAGAAACGGAACTTGATCTTTCGGACGCGCCCTCCAGTAAGAGGACAAGAATCATGCGGGGACAGGTTATAGTGCTTAAGCCCATCAAATACATGACTCTGACTCTGCATCCGATAGGTTTTGCGCCGCCAAAACTACCAATGCCCCGTAACTGGCGTGATCTATGCGGCCGGGCTGGACATCAGCGAATTCCAACAGCAACATTGTGTGCGCCGGGTGACCTATACGCGCAATATTACGACGAACGGACGAAAAACGGCTCCTGGACTAAGTAATAGATCGTATAGTTTTCTTCAGGGCAGAGGAGAGGCGATAACAGAATAAGCAAACTTAAAGCAATGGACAGAGAGGATCCGCCACTGCCTGGCTCAAAACTTGCCATGGAATAAGAACACCCTCGAGACGAGCTACAGAGGTAATGGTTTGCGGGGGGACCAGCTAACGTCTGGTTTTGAGTATAAATACAGCTACGCGATGGGCACGCACTCACTTGGGGACTGGGGCTGGGTTGTTTTGGTGCGTCGGAAATGAAATCCTGGGTAAGCCGACTCTGGGTTCACGCTCTGCTTGCAATGTACCTACTCCACTCCAGAATTAGTCGTTCCGACTCGGAAACCAGCCAAGTAGAAAGGGAGTAGTTCTCCGTCAAGGTTTCAGTCTCTGGAGGCCTGTTGGAGATGCGGCGTAGTCTGATTTCTGGTGCTGCACGTGCATATATGACTCTGAGTCCTCCCCACATATACATGCGCTGAGGAGATAAGGCTTGTGTGATGCGGTGGGGAGGACAAGTAGATTTAGACCTGCACGTTGCATCTCGGGACGGTGGCTTGTAGCTCTCGTAACTGGCGCTCAGAAAATGAGAAAAGCGATGTGATTTGTGGGAGGACCATGGTTTTGGGGAAGGCTGGCAGGGTTCCTGTTAATGCTGAGAGACTTTGTACATCAGTGGCAGGGCGGACGGCCCTTCTTCCCTATGAGGAATGGGGACTGTAGGAGATAGGACCGCGATGCTGCACGTGGAGTTAATGATGCTAGGCAAAGAAGGGGGAGCGGAACGGAGAATGGGAAGGAAGTATGTGAAACGTTGAAGGGAGGGGGGAGTAGGGATGACGACGTTTTGATGGGGGGAGGGAACTCTCGTCAGTGCTAGTGAAGACGCGTACTGTGCACATACAGTCGTAGGGTGCTGGAGTGTGTGGGGATGGCCTACTAGTTGAATGCATGACTGCAAGAGAATCGTCCGACGAGCAACTGGCGTAACTGCCGAATTCGAGTAGCTTCGATTAACGTGTAGAGTATTTGATCCGCGGACGAACCGAGAGAAGGCGCTAGCCTCGCTGTTCGGAAGATTGAAATGTAGGACTGATTCTAATTATAAGAGGTAGGTCGAATATGGGGCGGTGTTAGATTATACCTGGCCAGATGGTGATGACTAAATTTGGAATGAAAAATTTACGCTTATCCGACGGACCGGCACCTCCTGATTCTGACGATGATCATCGGCAAGCCGTACGGGTGGTCTGATGTGGGCGCGGGAATCTTTCCCAGTGAAAATCAGGCTTAGGGAGGTGTTATCCGTCTATCAGCACTCTCTCTAGCATACACTCCAAGATGGTATCGTTGTTCTCACTCCTCCGAGTGGCTATCGACACTATACGAGAGATCGTGTCTTCATACCGGCGTGTCACGAAGAGGATAAGGCAGTCTCCCGGGCTCCCAGTATCGAATCCCACCACACCGTTCTGGTCTATCCCAGCGTCGCCTATCCAAAAAGAAGGCTCATCAGCGGCTCTGTCTGCAAGTGCAGATGTAGTGATTATCGGATCTGGGATAACGGGCACGGCGTTTGCGCGTACGCTGCTTGATGCAGATGGGTCGTTGGAGGTTGTGATGTTGGAAGCGAGGGATGCGTGTTCTGGGGCTACAGCGCGGAATGGAGGGCATATCACGCCACCGCTGTACCATGACTACCTGGATTTGAAGAGCAAATACGGGGCGGAGACGGCGAAGCAGATTATACGGTTTAGGCTGTTGCATCTGGACGAACTGATTGGCGTTGCAGAAGAGGAAGGCCTGATGGAAGAGAGCCAGTGCCGCAAGGTGGAGACGTATGGTGTGTTTTTCGACAAAGACGTGTTTGAGGGAGCAAGGGAGAAATTGGACCGCTACTTGGAGGAAATACCGACTGAGAAGGGTGGCTGGGGTACGATGGAGGGGTCGGCAGGGATGCAGCTTGCAGATGGAGTGCGCGGGGTCATCTCAACGACGGGAGGGGCGGTGCATCCGTATCGGCTCGTCACGGGAATCCTCTCAAGGCTGCTCAAGACATACTCGTCCTTCCGGCTGTACACTCATACACCATGTTTCTCCATCGCCGACAACATTGTTCACACATCCCGTGGTGATATTCGCGCCAAACACATCGTGCATGCTACGAATGGCTGGACATCCCATCTCCTCGCACCGATGCGAGAAAAGATCGTTCCTGTGCGAGGGCATATGACTGCACAACGCGCAGGAACAGGCTTGGACAACGGATGGCATGGTACCCGGTCGTTTGTGCTATACCCAGGCGCGTCAGAAGATCGATGGGACTACCTCACCCAACAGCCGCCTGATCCTGCGAGACTCGGCGAGAAACCCCATGCAGAATTCATGTTTGGAGGTGGTATCGAGTTGGGCACGCCGTCCTTCTTTGAAGCTGTCGGATGCGCTGACGACAGTCAAATCGACTTTCGAACCTCGGCTTATCTTGGCGGGGCCCTAGCGGCGTATTTTGGGAAGTGGTGGGGAGGCGAGTCAGCTGATGTGGATGATGAAGAACATTTTGAGAGAGGACGCGTGAAGAAGGCGTGGTCTGGGATCTTGGGTATCTCTGCGGATGGATTGCCTTGGGTAGGCGAGATTCCCTCGAAGGTGTCGGGCAGGTCGGGAGGGAAGGAGTGGATTGCGGCGGGCTATTCGGGCGAGGGAATGGTGCACGCGTGGATGAGTGGAAAGGCGTTGGCGCACATGGTGCTTGGGAAAGACGTTGATTGGCTTCCCGCTCCATTTCGCGTCACGGAGAAAAGATGGAAAAAGGCAAATATCGCGTCTTGGCTGTAATAATCTATCTTGTAGATGTACAAAAAAACTACGCGTCGTGGCTATAATAATCATACATATATTCATCTCGTGGATATACGAAAGGTTGCGCGTCGGAAATATCCGAATAATCCTTCTCTCTTACCATCATGACTGCTCACATTCTCTGTCTTCTCCTTCGTCAGGAATTGTCGGCCTCCTCAAATTCACGACGTTGGTATGCCTACCGAGATGTTCAACATGTCATGCAGTAGTGCCCATTGAAACAAGTGGATTGCATGTTCCGCCCATCTTCACATCCTTCTCCTCGACGCGTCCTTCTTAGATCAAAGTCACAAGAGGGAGTCAATATTAGGAAGGAATCAATCTCTTCCTGGCGAGCGAATCCTGAACGAAGGAAGGTGTTTTGTAGAACACGATTGGGGAATGGATCGAACGCCTTGACCTTTCTGTGACCTACGTAGCCGGTGCGCACGAATACTAAAATGCGTATACTGATATTGACGATGTAGCGTGCAGGTCGAGTCGACAACCACCATGGCACCTATTTGCTATCCTAGAGCTCCAACATTTTAACACGTCCTTCCCAGGCTACCGAGTTTACGTACAGTTTCTTCCCTCAACGTCGTGGTTCTCTCCACACAAAGGTCTTCTCCTTGTCCTCATCATCGAGGGGCCTTGCTGTGTGAGAGGAAGCGCAGAATTACCGGGATATCCGGCCGTGTCGCTCAATTCCCTACCTGCGTTCGGAAACGAGGACTGTAGTGACACGACCATAGGTACTGAAGGCCGCCGACCCACAGCATGCTCCAATCCTGGCCATGTACCGCTCCCTTCTTCCTATAATTAACGGCGTTGTTGCTGCCAAGATCTCCACTCACCTGGGAACGAACGCATTCCCCGCTAGTGTGGAAGTGGAGTTCCCCAAAGTCAATGACTACTTCAGGTTCGATATTGCTTCGGACATGCGTTTTATAGCCGAATGAACCTTCCCTCTTCTTCGTCCTCTCACATAAACAGTGTTGCTGGCTGAGACTTTGCCTGATCGCACTGAGGATCAGGATCATACTCCACTTCGATCCTTCTCTCGGCTGCTCATCGGCGCTGAGGTTGACGATCCTTTACACGCGAACGGAATTGATGCAGTCAAAAGGACGTTCTTGCAATTCCGACGGATGAGCTTGTTCCTTCTGTTCAGCTACTGCCTGCAGACGAACGAGATTTCCTGTCCTTGACTTCTTAGCCTAGAAGGGTAGAGATCTCACAACGTCGGAGAACTAATGTATCATCCGAATGCAGCCAGATCTTTTGAAGAGTGGATGGATGACTTCCTCGCCCTCAGAACGGCTTTCGACACGGGAATCATACCCATAACGACTCGGTGTACTGTCATGGATCTTGGCCATGCTCACGGTTGTATGCCTTTGTCGATCTCGAGAACGCATTTTCTTAGTGTGCAGGACGAGTTCACCCTGATCGACCACTACCGTGACGCCTAAGAGTTCCAACACCCCATCCTTCTCATCATCACGGCTCGGCTCTTATTCTTTATCTCCTCCAAATTCATCTCGAACCAATCTCCTTGCGACGAAGGACGGTACCTTGCAGAATGCGATTGGTGTCAAAAATTGTATACGGATATTTGCATGCAGGACGACATCTACTTGCCGTCCCAAGGTCCAACACTACATCCAATCCGCCATATGTACGGACTCGCATCGTTCAGTTTTCCCCTCAAGATTCTAGTTCTATTCACACAAGCGTGTTTTCCTTCGTTGTCGTCCGCCTGTCGTCTACACCGCTTATATGTAGTCACAGATTTGAGGAGTCTTGCTGTGCGGGAGGACGAGAGATGGATTATCTGGACGCGTGAGACACCCTGGCCGTGTCGCTCAATATTAACTCCCTAACTGCGATTGGAAACGAGGACTGTAGAGAGGCACTTGCATCATGAGGATATCATCGGAGCCAAGGCCAGGCCGACCCCAGAGCAATGCTCCGAAAATGCATCGGTCCCTTCTACCGCTCGCCGGAATGGATTCGCGTCTTTCCTTTTAATCCATAGGCCCGCGCGGCTTTGCAAAGACCTGTTCGCATCACCACGGTCTGGAGGTTATTCTCTCTCTCTTGCCCATAGTTCGAATGTGCGCATGATGTACCAAGTTTCCTCTACCTACGCCTCCATCCTCACTTCCCCAAACCAACCAACAATGAACATTTTCCTGTTCATTCTTCACTCCCTTTTCATGGTATCTTCAAACAACCAGCTTCCGAGGGAAGATGATACCTGCTGCGACGTGGCTTATCCTCGAGATGCTGGCGCTGCTTGAAGGATTGGCAAACTGCCTCCTCGATTCTCCTCCTCTTCCTAACTAAGATGCGGTCCTCGACGCTGTCAAATCCTCGTCCTGTCCGAGATGCTGCCCCCAAATCTAGCCTGACGCCTATCGTTGATCCCGTATCCCGAGCCCCAGGATCGAAGGTATCTGTCAGTATCGCGAGTTCCGACATCTGATTCTCAACGCATTCCTCATCTTACCTGGTCTTCCTCGATACGGCTTTATAGCACATTTTCTGTGTATGCCCTTGTACCCCGGACGAAGCCTCATATATGGAACCTCGACTCGGGGGGTCTATTCTGATTTGGAGAAGATTTCAAGAGAAAAAACGTGCCGCCGTGACTACGAGTGCTCGATCTCTTTATTTCATGGATGGATGTTAATTCTCCCCCACATGTCGCGCGTTTCAGAGTGGATATGGCGTCGGTGGAAGATCTTGCGGATAGATGGGTTCAGATGCATCAGGGTTGCGTCGGGGTAGGAATGTCAGCGTGCCTGAAGATGCTGTGCCGTGTAATAAGTATGAGATGAGATCACCTTGCAGCTGCAGCCTTCTATGTAAGGGACTGGTTGCAAGTGGAGATCCCGCGGTGACTTCTCATACGCTGGAGGTCCTCTTGAAGGCAGAACGATTTAGTATGTCGTGCGTTTCTCAATTTTGACCAACGTTAACATCAAGAATTTGTTTTAGGATGGGAAAAGATCCCTCGTGATTGAGGTCTTTACTCCCATTTTCCTCGCAGTAAGTACGTTACAAGGCTTATCGGTATGGAAAAGAGAAACGGTTTAGTGAGGTTCTGAACCTGAACCTGTATTTTATAACGGGGTAAGCTATCGATGTGGTTATATATCTTGTTGCTGATGATGCTTATTAGCTCATGACAATCGACTCACCGGAGCGTCAAGAATTCGTGCCAAGTACGATATTCGGCTCGAGCCTACGTCGTGTGTAAATGGATGGGGGGCTCCATATCAGCATGTTACGATCTTGGGTGTACCCAACGTCGTCATCAGGGGGGGATCAAAGTCAGAGGACTCGATGCGTTTTTGGAATGTATTCTCACAACCATGTCTAAGAGACCTATAATTCGTAACTTATCCTCGACATACAGGAGCTACTCCTCGATTCCTACCCCCTCCCTCCGGCGTTGAAAAAGACGTTCCTCTTCACGGCGATCGCATATATCGATATTGACGCACCCGCCATCAAGGAACACGTCTGGTTTCAGGTTTGCAGCTTCGGATTTTGCAAACCAGACATGAAGTTTGGCGACCTCTGTTTGCTCAAGGTCGAAGAATGGTAATGGTAGTAGTGCATTAGCAGGTGAAGATGAATTTAAACGCGCACATGTTACCACTTTGCTCAACCTGCACGTGCGTAGGTCCATCAATGAACCATGCAGCTCTGTAAAGACATGCTCTTTCATCCCTAGAGGAACAACTATGACGTAATTGGACCTCTCGAAGTGTTCATTTTGGAGGTCCAAGTACGTTATCCGTGCTCTCGACGTTGAATTATTATTAACAATTGTCGTATACTAGCAGGTATTATTTAATTCATTCTTTTCTGATAAGAGCTGACGTCTTTTGTGTCCAGAGTTCCTTCAACACTGGCGTTATTCAAGGACAGAAGAACTACATCAGAATGGGAGCAATATGCCATTCTCATTACCGCTTCCAATTCTTTTTCGTATGTTCTCGCTATCATTGTTTTTCATCCACATGCTTACGATCTCGGGCAGATTTACAGTGTCGTTGTTCTCACTTCTCCGGTTGGCTATTGGCGCTCTGCAATAGATTGTACCTTCATACCGGCCCGTCACCGAGAGGATCAAGCAGTCTCCCAGCGTCGAATCCCACCACTCCCTTCTGGTCTATCCCAGCATCGCCCATCAAGAAAGAAGGCTCGTCTGCGCCTCTGCCAGAATACACAGACGTTGTGATTATTTGGTCTGGGATAATGGGTACGGCATTTGCACATACGCTGCTTGATGTGGATGGGTCGTTGGAAGTTGTGATGCTGGAAGTTAGGGAAGTTGGAGCGTTACTTGTAGGAACTGCCTAGTGAGAAGGGTGGCTGAGGTACGATGGATGGCTCGGTGGGGATGCAACTTTGCGGACGGGGTACGCGGGATCATCTCGACGACGGGCGAGGCGGTACATCCTTATCAGATCGTCAAGAGAATCTTGTCAAGGCTGCTTAATATGTACTTGCCCATCTGGCTGTACATCCACCTTCCCGGTCTTTCTACCCCCGACAACATCATTCACACAGCCCGTGGTGATATTCGCGCTAAGAACGTCTTGTATGCCACGAATGGCTGGACATCCCATCTCCTCGTGCTGATGTGAGAAAAGATCGCTCCCGTACGAGGATATATGACAACACAGCGTGCAGGAACAGAGTCTGATCGGTGACTCGGTACACGGTCGTTTGTTCTGTACCCAGGCTCGTCACAGCTGGGTGACGGCTATTTTGCACGAGTCAAAATGATATCAAAACGCACTTTTGGGATTTTGCATCGGTCAAAATCCTTCAGTATTTCTTTATTAGGGGGGTACCAAGGATTTTGATTCCATTTTGACCCGCACAAAATAGTCGCCACCCAGCTGTGCATCAGAAGATCGATGGGACTGCCTCACCTAACAGCTGCCTGATCCTTCGAGACTGGGCGAGAAACTGCATGCAGAGTCCTTGTTTGGTAGTGGTATTGAAACAGATACCCCCCCTCCTTTGAAGCTGTCGGGTGTGCTAACGACAGCCAAGCCGAGTTTTACACCTCGGGCTTACCTTGATGGGCACTGGGAGGGAGACGAGTCGGCTGATATGGATGATGATGAAACACTGAAAGAGGACGCGTGAAGAGGGCATGGTCAGGTATTTTGGGCATATCCGCGGATGGACTGCCCTGGGTTGGCAGTATTCCCTCAAAAGTGTCGGGCAGGAGGGAGAGAGTGGATTGCAGCGGGGCAGGTGAGGGAATGGTGCATGTGTGGATGAGTGGAAAGGCGTTGGCGTGTATGGTACTTGGGAAAGATGTTGATTGGCTCCCCGCACCGTTTCGTGTCACAGAAAAGAGGCGGAAAGAGGCAAATATCATGTCTTGGCTATAATATTCACGCTATCATTCAATATCGTCCTTTTGAAAACAATCAGGGCAAGACTATTCTTCAGATCTGAACGGTAATATGTATCATATGTATCACTGTGTACGAGATACATTCAAGCCATCTTTCCCATCCTTCTCCCTGACTACCAGACGTCATGTCATATCATCCTGTAACTGAGCGTCAATCTTGTTTCTGATTCTACGAGCCCCATTTAAATGCTGTAAGAGTGATGTAACGCTTGATGAAGGAAGCCAGGAAGCCAAATAAAACACAGACTGAGCCAAAGCAAGGTGGGACCTTGTTTCAGCCACACCCTCCTGAGCTTGAGGTTTTGAACATCTAATTAGTAACCCTTCATTTACGACAGAATAATGGGCCGCAGTATGTGCTACCACTTTCCTTTCATTTTCAGTCTTCGTTCTGACTAGAACCAACTAGAACTCGGATCAGTTCACTTGAACAGGCGACAAGGGTGGATTCAAGTCTTCGGCTATACAAATCCTTCACGCAGAGACCAGAAGGTATGCAGCTGAAAATGCCAATAGAAATGCCCTGAATAACAGTGCCACTGAGAAAGACACATCTGCAATACTATTCAAAGCTCTCCAATGTCACCATCACCGCTCCCGTTGAAGGTGACTTGACAATCCAAGATATCAAAGTCCCCAGTCAACGAGAATATAAGGGTAGAAAGCCCGTCATAGAGTCCTCCCTCGCTGACACCCCCTGTGCCGAGCTGGGTATTGATGGACTGTTGGAAACACTGAACAGCACTCTTGGCACCAGCTTTGATCTCACCCCTTCTCTGTCGTCCCTTTTCGAAGCGTACATCTGTGCCAAATATGACTTTGGCACCGCATATGGTTATCTCCGCCCCATATGGTATGACTGCGACTTGAACGTCATCCAAGAGTCACTACGCACCTGTGAAGTGACAGATCTAAAAATACGACAAGAGGCTCTGGTGGGTGACCATATTACCAGGGATGGACTGTTCATGGCACCTAGGCGTGTCTGGGACCTATTCAGCAATCGGGTGGTGCCGTGGTGGGTTGCCAAGCATACACCATGGGGAATATCACATGCCTGGATGGATAAGAGCCTTCGCGAAAATGTAGACACTCCCATCAACAGACATCAATGGCCTGTGCCCATACCAAAAGATGCCAATCTCGAGTACATCCGTATTGAATTGCTGAATCTTGGTGCAGAGTATGCATGGCTGGATGTCCTCTGTTTGAGGCAGAAAGGGGAGCTAAGGGAGGATCTGCGTGCAAATGAGTGGAAGTTAGATGTGCCCACTATTGGAAATGCATACACTCTGGGAAAGGTGGTTTGCTACTTCAGCAGGCTTGGACGGCCTTTGCAGCATGATGGGAGTTCCAATGAGAGCTATTTCGATAGCGATCGGAGTTGGTTCAAATGCACATGGACATTACAGGAGACAAGTCACGATTGGATGATAGGTGGTGATATGGGTGATCAGAAAATGAATAGGGAAGTACAAGAAAGATTCAAGTTGCAACTGTCATCCTTGCAAAAGGCTCTGAGTCAGTCTGCAGATGTGTTTAACTATCTATCACTAGTGCGGGGTCGTGCAGCTGAGAAGGATGTGGATAAAGTTGCAGCGCTGGCATACTTTTTGCCATGTAATTCCCTACCAGCACACAATGACACACGACCCTCGACATCTGTGACTTGCTCACAGTCTGATGGTTTCACAATTGAACCCACATCTACTTCCATCAGAACAGGTGATCCAACCTCTGGACACATACCAGCATACTCTGAGCAGGCATCTGCTGAAGATGCTTGGACAGCCCTAGTAAATGTGATGTTGCGGTTGAGTTGTTCAGAGATGCTCTTTCTGTATCCTGAGCCTGGGCCTGAACTCCATGTATGGAGACCATCATGGAAGCAGGCTATGAGCTGGAAGGAGTGTTCCTCAGCTAAAATATCTGCATGGGTTGAATATGATGTGGACACAGGCACCTATTCATACAATGACTGGCACATTGACTTGGTGCATGTTAAAGGATTGGCCATGCCAACAGCAACACCCCGCAAAGGACACTTGATTGTCCATGGGTTGGATGGAGAGGAGCATCAATGTGAAATTTCTGCTGGCCATCGACAAGCAATACCTGATGGCATATATTCATTGCTAATAGGCCACTACCTTCATCAACATAAGGCTCCATGTGTTGTTGGGAGACTGTCTGGCCAAATGTTTACAAAGATATCAGTGATCGAAATGGTCTTCCAAGAAGAGAAAGATGAGTGGCAACTGTTGGCGAACTACTTGAAAGAGATCTGGGGGAGTAACATCCTTGTAGACTCATGCATTGTTTTTATTTAAAATAAACTTGGCAACATTGATTATAGTTTCTGTATATGCTTCAGGAAGATGTCACTGAACACGAAAAATGCCAAGAAAAAAAATGAAATAAACAATGAGACAGGACTGTGCTGATGCATCTGTAAATACTTCCAGACGTGTGATGCTCGCCTTACTCGCCCACTTACCTTTCGCTCGTTCCTCCCATTCTCGCCTCACCTCGCTCAAAACTCAATATATCATTTCTTGTCTACTCGTGAATCCTAAAATTCCCCTTTGTATGGATTTTTCTTGATCAAATCCACGATCTGACGCGCTTTCCCCCATCCAGATCTGCCAACCTTTATTGTCCACAGTATGCAGAATCTCCTGTAGTTACAGTGCAAGCCGGTATGCAGAGTCTCCTGTAACTACAGGACGGTGGCGCTGGGGAGATGTGCTCTGCATACCCAAGAAACCCACTCTGCATACCCAAGACACATACTCTGCATACTCAAATTACGTATTCGTATATTGCCCTCGTGTCCTTTCACCTTGCCGTCATCGTTGCAAACGATGAAGAGACGTCCTCTCGTCGTCCTCCCGATGCCTGCCTAAAAGGGATTGTCCCGTATTATTATCAAATAAAATGAATATAGTTAAAATATAGTACAGCATACAAAATGTGGATAAAATGCGGTGCAGGCGGGCGTGGCGGGATGTAAGCATCGATAGCATCCATGAAGCCTCATGTAGAGGGAAGCAATGATATCGATGGCGCAGTGATCGTTGCGTTATTATGGGGGTGATATGAGCGGGGAAAGGTGGGTGTCGGGATAGGGAGCCGGTAGACGACGACCATGGCATCAAGGGGGTAAACAGAGCTATGATGCATGTTACCCGGTCCAAATAATGAGGGATGCATGAGTTTGAGGTGGGTGGGTGAGCTGGGCAGCGTACGGGAGGCCGATGTTGGACGGGATGCAGCAGGTGGCGGCAGGGGGTATCCGTGATCGCGTAGCCATGAATGTGGGTTCGTTCACAACGCCTTTGAGCCCTCATTAACATTCAATGCCTCGAATGACATGGTCGTCATCAGTGTCGTTCACCGTCAGCATCCCGACCTTGCTCTCGCCCTCCCGCCCACACCCTCTCGCCTTCCCACCCGTCCCTAGCACACCCCTGCTTCCACTCCATCCCTAGCCCGCTATTTGGCATGTTCATGCCCTATAATCGAGTCCTCCCTACCCCTCACGCCATCACTGTCGTCGTCGTCCTGGTCGTCGTGATGGTTGGCTTTGCATCCATACGCCCTCCTGGCAGCAGATGGAGGCGGATGTTGAGTTATCGAGTGAATGAGGCATCGTTAATGCATTCAGAAGCCATGGTGAATGGCGATTGGCCCCGATTTCGATGTGGGGGATGCTAGGTAGGTCGCAACGGCAACAGGGCGGGGCTTAATGGCGGCGGCAAGAATTGTCGGGGGCTGTAGTAAAAGGGAGATGGTGGTAGTGCAATTCTCCATCATTTGGAAGGGGGAAATTATGCTGCCTTGCAGGAGGGCTTACGCGCAGGCGAGTGGGGCTTGATGCACGATATCCAGGCCATCCAGGGGCCACCAGATGGATCAAAAGTACCTGTAAAACCTATATTAGCATTAAAAGTAATTTAATATACCTTTATTTCCATTCAAACGAGCAGTGGGGGCAGGCAGGCAACTACACCATGGATCGACGGTGAAAAGGTGAGACGAAGAAAAGGAGGGGTACAGCCACTCGATCAGTATCCGGTTTACCGGACCGGACCGATCGAGCGAGCGGAATGGATGCTCGGGATGCATCCTCTGCTCGAATCCTTTACTCCGAAGCCCAAAAAGCTAACGGAATATACTATAGAAATTATCTAGTATACATCTGTGTACTTTGTATAGTATATAATCTATCCCAACCTTGATTTATCTGCCATTTATGGTGAATATCACGCATTTTAGGACATTTCAAGGATGCATCATTTGTACACAGGTATGTGCAACCTTTCCAAGGGTAAGAATGGTTGAAAATAAAATTTTATGTATTACATTATCCAAAGCAGGTGTCCGATCCATGGCGATCTGCCTTTACGTGCCTTGTAATTGCATTTCTCGTTGAAGTGAACTCATAAAAGAACATTACTTGCACAATCTCATCTGGTGCAATTTTGTCTGACCGAGGTATATTTCTGCCAGGGCAGATATACATTGTGACACATATCACTCCAGATAAGTACAGACCATGCCTCTCTGGGTAATATACTTCAATTTAAGCATGTACTGTGAGGTATGACTTTTTACACATGCCTCTGGCATACTTTTGAGATCATAATTCATGTCTACATAAGCACAGAACGGAAAACATGCACAGAGAAGATGCATAGAACATTAAAGAAGCTAATAGACATTGTGAATTATATTTACAAGCACTGAGAGAATTTCGGGACTGTACAATCTCGACCTATTTGCTTACTGTGAGCGGGTTAGGGGTGTTTCGGCAAACTCCGGAAAACGTCGGAGTACTTCTTGTCCTTAGTATCCATACATTATATGACACAAACAAGATAGAGCAATCATACACTGCTTCTTTTGTCATATTTTAATTGAATAAGTGCAATATACTGTCTACTATCCCAAAATTCGCCTGCTGTCGCAATTTCCAAACCGTATACCAATCTGGGAATGGTATATTCCCACAGTCTGTGCATCCAAGCCATGCCGATGCGCATTCAGTCAAATATATGGTAAGGGTAGGTGTAGAACTTTTGGAAGGAGTACTAGTAAGTATATCAAATAATATTTTCTGAGCCCGCTCTTTTTTGGCCCCCCTGGCAATGAGCAGAAGGGCGGAAAATTCAATACCCCAGTTGCCACCCAGTATCAGCCAGTATCAAAACGGGAGCATTGAATATCATGTGAGCACCAAAATGATGTCAATAATTAATCGTTGGCGATTGTGCCCGGTGTTTTTGGGGCTGTGGGCAGAGGGGCGAAGGGTGGGGGAGGGTATTGTGGCGTAATCAGGATGTGGGAAAATTACAGGACCCTGAGTATGCAGAGCGTTGTGCGCAGCTCTTCCGACTCTGCATACTCCATTCGCCTGTAGTTACAGGCGACTCTGCATACCGGGCTGCACTGTAACTACAGGGCCACTCTGCATAATATGGACGGTATAGCCTCGATCTGCTCCAAGCACCTCGTATTCGACTCTCCATTATTTTGGACCCTGCGAGACGCGTAGTTTCATTAATGCAAGGGATCGGATTGCCCACCAACCCGTCAAGATCATGACGTCGAGTGATAGCCCTGACTTTGATTAGGAGCTCAACCATCGACTTGTACATCCTTCGATTTCAGCTAATTTCGTGCAACAATACACCGAGGGATTCTTATTTTAGATCATGTGTGTTCATTCCAGGTTTCCCCCATTCTCAAAACACCGCGCTTTCTTTGTTTTCCCGACCTGAACCCGAAATCCATCTGTATACCAACTACGTTCTAGGCGATACGGCACTCACGGATGTCATCTGGACATTGAATTCATCCACCCATGCCCGAAATTTATTTCGTTGACCCTCTCGACAGTCACCACGCCACCCGAATTAGCGGAAGTCAGAGGACAGGACTCTGGAATACATTTTCGTAAGTTTCGACCTCTTCCAAGTTTCAACAGGGCTAATATTTGTGCCCGGCTGCGGTTTCAGTGTCGTATCAAGCGTGTCCCTGAGCACTATGTGTCTGGAAGCGACCGCCCGAAACTTGGAAGTCTTGCAAGTCCTCAAATGTCTCTTCCTCTTCTGCACAATCCTTCGTGTTAACATCGAGTTTACGACTTGGAACCAAGGCAGGCTGGTCTGAGGGAGGGAGGAACGGACTCGACTGATGTTCGGGTCTGTGTTCGCACGCAATATTGGCTGCTGTAAGTTTGCCATTCAACGGGTAACTCTTCCAGCTGTTCTGAACATTTTCCCAATTTTCCGATTTTCAGAATGCAGGAAATTTTCACCCCGATCGGATCTTTCTCACCTCAGCACCGTGTTGTCATGCTATGGAATCCTGTAGAATCGAGACCGTCGTGAATGGGTATAAATACGACAGTCTACCGACAGATTTTACCCATTCCCTCCCATTCCCTCTTCCCCCAGTCCTCTCCTCTCCTCCCCTCTCTCCTCTCCTTTGCTCTCCCGCTCTTGTACTCTCTCTCTCCCACCCACTGCTCGTCATTGAGTATGCCTTCAACGTGCTGATCACCGCTGTACGCGTCTTCGACAGAGGCGAGCTCGGTGGTCGTAATCTCCGTGATCGCCGTCAGCTGCCTTTTTAGACTTGACTTCAACCACCACCATGTTGACGGCATCAAGTTCACTGACCTCTACGGTGAGCTTGTTGTATCTCCTACCCAATTTTCATGTTTCTAATATTTCTTCCTAGGTTTACTTCGACGTTATTTAAGTTGCCGCGGCGGTATCGAGCAAGGAGCTCGACGACTACGAGAGGCCCATGGTAAGCGACTCGTTTAACACTCATGACAACTGCTAACGAGATCATTTTCCAGATATTCTCTTATGCTTTCACGGACGCTAGTTCAGTCTATGGTAAATGATCCACTTGCTTCTTAGTCACTTGCAGTTGATTAGATTTAGAAATCTGTTTAATCGAGTCAGATTCCGTCGACTAACATCCGGGATACGACTACGGGAGGCATTGAAGCACTGTTGAGACTGAGGGAGTAAATTTATGGTGTGTGCAATTTCCCCTTCCACTCTTTGCCAATGTGACTATCTTTTAGTACGATTGTAATCTTACTTGCGAATGTCGTTAGGCGTCTTTCCACGGCAGTATCAAGCAACAGGCTCGATGACTATGACAGGCCCATGGTAAGTGACTCGTCAACCTCTGGAAATAACTACTAACCAAGATGGCCTATTCCAGTTATAATTTTATTCTTGCTGTCCGTCGTTCGTCAGTTCAGCCTAAGGTAATCCTCCTGCTTTTGGTTCACTTGACGCTCATTAGATATTTCTTTAGTATAAGGAACCGTTGACTAGTAACATTGGAGATATGGCTACGGGAGTCGTTGAAAGATTGTTGGATTTGGATAGCGGCGGAAATTCCGTTCAGAGTGCGGGGATGAATCCAAGGTATGTATGGTTCCCTTATCTTTTCGCTCACATGGCTATAGCTTACTGTTGTAGCACTACCTCTGAGTCTCGTAGGCGCAGACCACGGTCAAGACGACTCTACCGTCTATGATCAAGCTACGCACCTACAGGTGCTGTTCAAGTCAAAAGGATCTGCAGGCTGAGCAACACGGGTATTAAGCTCTTACTTTTGTTCATCAAAATATTTTTAACGACTTTTAGGTTCTATACGTTGGCCTTCGGGCTCGTGCTAGACATCGACCGTCATACAGCACCGTCCAGTAAGCAACCCTCTTAACTTCCGTTCACAGATGTTAACGACAGGCCTACGATAAGCAAATTGTTCAACCCTCATAACGACTACTAACGAAAACCTTTTGCGGGTGTTCTCTCAGGCTTTCAGCCCGTCGTTTACGGGCACCAGGTCAGCCTGAGGTAATACGGCTGCTTTCATTCACTCGAAGATGTCTAGATAAGATCTCACATTGACTTTCGAGCTTGTACTAGACGTCAACCATTCAACTGCTTATCCGATGAGCACCCCATCTAACTTCTGCTCGCAGATATTAACTCCTGCTTTCCCCAGGTATAACCTTGGTCTGTAGGGCTCTCCTTTAACGAGCCTTGACTTTGTTTCAGAGAGGTAAGCCTAATGTTTTGTTAGGTTATCTCTAACTGTTGCTGTAGCACAGACGACGCAGGACAGGATGTCATGCTACTGTCGTAATGACTGTGCTCATTCAGATTGAATACAACCATGCGGAAGGGGATGGAGCTGGACTTTGCTAGTTCACTGGAGGGGGGTACTACGCGTGAGGCAAGTATTCGACTACCTTGATCTCGTTGCCTTGACTAACTCGGCTTGTTTTATTTAGAGTGTAGACCGTGTATATCTCATGTACACTATACTACGGTACGTGCCTTTACTTTGAAAGTAAATTCTGATATCAACTACTGATGCTAGAAGAACCATATGTATATACATGATTGCGTGCAAACTGACGGGTAAGCATTTTCTTTACTCGCAGGTTGATGAGAGATTTAAATCAATTGCTTGCAGGATTCGTCAACTGTGTCGCAGTGACCTAATGAGCCGTTCACTGCACGCATAAGAAAATGCAGCCGTCGACTGGTGCAGTCAAAGATGGCTGGGTGTAAACTGTCGAATTGAAGGACAATGCTCCAAGTCAAGGTAAGCGTCGTGTTTCTGGTTTGAGTGAATGGCAGGCTAAGGAATAACTCGCAGATAGAATGCAGAGGGATGTATTGAAAATCAACTAGATTACAAAGTAGACTACAGTACAGAGAGATCGAGGAAGCGGGCGCGCGAGGTTGAAGAGTGAGGGTGTGTGTGCGCTCTCAGATCTCAGATCCAGAATGAGACCGAAAGCTGCGTGGATATCCCCACCAACATTGAGCTCTTCGCAGCTGCGCCGTGTCTCAATGAATACGCAACACCACCGAATGGTCTCTCAGCTCATTCGCTCGGTTTCTGGACCGTGAGGGGCAAGAACTCGGCCCGAACTCGAACCGAGCAGTGAGGCGATGCTGGCCTAAGGGATGTATAGAATGGGAGTCGGCGTTGCAGAAGATGAGCTTGCGACCTGAGAGGGATGCAGCAGAGGGGCGGACCCAAAGCATAAAGCTTAAAGACTCACCGTGGTACGCACAACACCAGGTGCTCCTTCAATTCCATGACCCGGCAATACCCCTCCATCTCCTTCGCTTGGGATCACACCGTGAACAGCAAGAACTCGACTCAGAGTCAAACTCGTCGAGCCTGCACTCGGCACCAAGCAACTCGAGAATTGAGAAGATGCGAGCTTGAGGGAGGGAGATAATGGAAGGGGGAGGGAGGAAGCCGGTATTGGGGAAGACGAGCTTGAAGGATGCGGCGGAGGGATGGTCGTCTGTGGCTGTGGAAGGAAGTCGTCGACTTGGGAGGCGTGCAAGATGCGGAAGAGACGTCGGTGGCTGTGGAGAAAGGTCGTCGTCTTGAGGGATGGCCTGAGAGGGAGGGAGTCGTCTATTTGGAAGGGAAGAGGGTCGTAGACATGATGGGAGTAGGAGAGTGACGCCTAAAATGTTCCCACGCTTCACTTTCTCTCAGTACGATCGTGCAAAAATGCGTGCACGTACAGTGTTTTGGTTTCAGTCACGCTGCACCAAAACTTGACCTACTCCAACAATGGACACCCTCATTCCATCTCTCGTTCTACATGGCCCACACGACCTTCGCTATACCCGCCGCCCCCTCCCGCCGCCTCCTCCCCATCACGTTCAAATCGCCGTCCTCTCTACCGGGCTCTGCAGGTCCAACCTGCATTACTATCTTACGCGCGTAACGGTGCCTTTGCTCTTCAAGCGCCCCTCGTCCTTGGCCACGAATCAGCGGGAATCATCACATCCGTTGGGCCTCTCGTCACGCACCTCCGTCCCGGTCAGCACGTCGCTATTGAAGCCGGAATCCTTTGTGGATCATGCGAATATTGCAGATCTAACCGGTATAACCTCTGTGAGGGGATGCGCTTCCGGAGCAGTGCTAAATCGTTCCCCCATCTCGATGGTACGATGCAGGCGCGGATAAACCACCCTGCGAAACATGTGCATATGCTGCCCCGCAGGGTATCGTGCGAGCAGGGAGCATTCACGGAGCCTTTGTCTGTTGTATTGCAAGCATCGAAACGGGCTGGAGTTTCGAGAAACACACGCAAAGTACTTGCATTTGGGGCTGAAGCTATCGGGATGCTGGCTGCTGGACTCGCGCGTTCAACGTCAACGTTCAACGATCATAAAAGTAGAGACGACGTGTTCCGCGAAATTAAACTCTGGAAGGGTTTCATCTACAAACGTTCAAAGGGTGTGCCTGTAGATTGTCTATCGCCGCAGGCCCCAGCAAAAGGCATTGATGATCTCGAGCAGAGGTATTTGGCGGAGGATATGATGTCGTATATGAATATACTGGTGCTGAACTGTGTATTCAAATGGCTGTCTATGTGGGTACCTCTTCTTTTCCGGCTTTCTCGAATTCTGGCTAATGTCAATCAGAGTGCGAAAAGCGGGGGAAAGGTCCTTCTCATTGGAATGGGCACGCCTAACGCTTTGATACCCATAAGCATCCTTCCTCCCTTCTTCGTGTCAACGGGTTCTACACTTCTGACGCATGAATATCTCATCTCATCGTCATCGATATCATAGTTCATCACTATCTACATAACTGGTGTTTGAGCAGGATCCATTGATTTTGATAGTCATGTATGCTACTTTCTTGCATTGAAGCATGAGCTGACTCCTTTTGGTAGGATTTCGGTCGCGCTGGCGGACGGCTCGATAGGCTGTGACAGTCGCTACACCCCAAATCTACGGGCACCAGAGCGCACCAGAGGTCTGTCTCCTCGGTCCGAGATCGCAGGGTGCCTTATACATTTTCGTGGTCTCATTCCTGAAAACACGTTCAGTATGAGCATTAGCAGAAACACGGCGCGCGTGTGCGTGGATAAATTTACCGAGAAGATTCTAAGGGCAACCACCCCTAATTGCAATTGCAAATTATTGAATATTTTCCCTGCCGCCTCGAGTTTTCTCTCACTATCGACTGACCTCTCGTGCCCCCAATCAAAAGTCTGAATCAGTCCCCCTTTGACCGAATATTAGGCTTTCCTGATGCCCCCGACATCGAGACGCACACAGCGGATTCGTGGATGGTAATGAATCGTCACACCAAAGCACGTTACGACCCCAAAGCCCCTCTGCCTTCCCACCACTTTCGTTCACAACCTGCCTCAGTCTTTGAAGAAACAACGAACGAAGAGATTCATTCACTTCCGTCGTTTCACTGCCACCAATCAGCTCCGGCGATCATGCCACATCGTCGGCCTTATAACTGAGGGGGACTTTGAGAAGGAGTGGCTTGCACTCTCAACAGAGGAGGGGGAGAAGCATTTTTTTAGCTGGTCTGCGCGCGGCAGAGCAAAACATGACCTATGTCACGTTCATCAGAAGCAAGGCGGATTGTCCGGAGCTGAACAGGGACGAAGTTACGCGGGATGGTGGACAGGGATTCCTCGATCTCATGCAGCAGTTTATGCTCCCGGATAACGCCAATGTTCCAACGCAGCCTCATGTCATGGCCAACTCTCGGTTCGACAAAATGATTGGGTTCAAAGAAGATGACACTCACAAGGCTCGTTTGGCACAACTTTCAATGGCAAGGATGATCAGATCGGAGTACATAGGTGCGTGAATATACATATCTGTGTTAGCAGCTTTTCAACGTTGCCCAGCAAACTTTGTTATGAACGTCCTCATGTCATGCAAAGGTAAAACGCCCGAGATCACTGTCTTCACCACCGAACACTCGAAAACCAAGTTCACTCTCAAGAATCACTCGGAAATGTTCGAGAAGATGATGGGAAAGATTGCAAGCAAGCAATTTAAGAGGGACGAGGTTAAACGTCCAAAGAGATGAAGCTCCGTTGTCAGTACTGTCTCAAGGTCGAAGACAAAGAGAAGGACGGTAAAATGACAGTCTGTTCTCGGTCCAAATCCATCGGACGCGAGATTCGGTATTGCAGTCGTGACTGTCAAGTGGCGGATTGGAAGCAGCATAAGAAAGAGTGCGGCAAGCCTCTGGGTATGATGAGCCGTTTTATCCACAGCTAGTATTCATCCATTTTGATAGATATTTCTTCCGCATTTAAGAACGTTCACATCGGAGATAGCGAAAGCAACACCAAAAGACCTGACATCCCGACATGTTCACCTGGGCATCGACAGTCAGTCACCATATGTTGTTCGACTCATCGAGTACCTCGAACTCAGCACAAAGCACGACTACGTTGTCGAAACAAAACCTGGTACGGACGATGTCTTCGGTATCAAGCTCGACGAGGTCCCTGGTGCTGTCGCATTTATTCATATGCGGAATATGCTCTTCACCACGTCTGGTCCTGCGCGGAAGGAGCTCTGCTCCATGTTTACAGAATACTTCAGACTCAAGGTGGTGTTTCTGGAGAACGTTCCGTACAGGACCAACTTAAGCGCGAATACGGGGAACTTTTATGGAACCGAATGCAGGCCCTTGTTAAACGGGGTCCACCATTCTCTATACCTGAAGTATATCGCAAAGATGTTGACGTTATCATCAAAGCTTTGAGGCAATTAAAACGCTTCACTCAACAGCTTCGGGTATATACTATCGGTTCGGGACCGATAGCCAAGCCCGGACTTCAAGTAGGACCAAAGAAGGATGTTTGCATAATCGTACACTTCCCGGAGGACGCAATGCCTCCACCATGCATACTCGTCCCTGTCCCCAACCCAGCACCTAGATGAGATCACCTCGCAGTCTCCTACAACATTGTAAGGACAAGTTTGGATCCCTCGGCGACCTCTCACACGCTGGATGTCCTTCTGAAGGTAGAATGACCTGGTATGTCGTGTGTTTCTCAGTTCTGGCCAACGTTAACATCAAGCATTTGTTTTAGGATAGATCTGGTATCCGATTTGGGAAGGGATCTCTCATGTTTGATGCACCGGCGTGTTGCTACATTCCCACTTTCCACGCATTCCTCGAATGAACACGATAACAAGGTTTACAGGCATATATCGGGATGGAAAAGGGAAACGGTTTAGTGCGGCTCCGAACCTGAACATGTATGTTATGACGGGGTAAGCGATCCACCATTGATGTAGTTATCTATCTCGTTGCTGATGATGCTTATTAGCTCAGATGCCATGACGAACGACGAGAGCCAGCTCACTCGAGATTCAAGAACTTACCCTTCTTCGTGTCAAGAACGATATTCGGCTCGAGCCTACGTCGCGTGTAAACGAGTGGAGGAGGGGGGGGGGGGGGGGCTCCATATCAACATGTTACGAGTCTGGAAATATCGTCACCAGGAGGCATCAAGGTCAGAGGACCCAGTGCATTTTGGAATGTATTCTCACAACCATGTCTAGGAGACCTATAGTTCACAGCTTATCCTCGACATACGGGAGCTGCTCATCGAATCCTACCCCCTCCCTCCAGGGTTGAAAACGATGTTCCTCTTCACGGCGATGGCATATAACAGTATTGTCGGACACGCCATTGCTGGGATCAGGTTTACAGCTTCGGATTCTGCAAATCAGACACGTTTACGAGACGACCTCTGTTCACTCAAGGACGAAGAATGGTGATAGTAGTGGTGGATTAGCAAGTGAAAGTGAGTTTAAACGTGTACATGCTATTTTTCTGCTCAACCTGCATGTGTCTAGGTCCATTAACGAACCATGCTCCTCTGTAAAGACACACTTTTTCATCCCTAGACGCACAATTATGACGTACTTGGACCTCCAAAATGAACATTTCGAGAGGTCCAAGTACGTCATCCGTGCACTCGACGTCTTCCTAACAATCGTCGCGCACTAGCAGGTATTATTTAATTCATTCTTTTCTGATAATAGCTGACATCTTTTGTATCCAGAGTTTCTTCAATACCTGTGCTATTCGAGGATGGAAGAACTACATAGGATTGGAGCAATACGCCACTTATGATTTGTATGTTCTCGCTATCATTGTTTTTCATTCATATGCTTATGATCTCGGGGCAGGTATACAATTTATTTGTGCTCCTTCTAGATATATCTTTCAATTGTGAGCATTTCAAAGGTCCGAATACGACTGCTTTTGACTTGTATTATCCAGCGAATGCCTCAGATCATTGTTCAATATCATAATTCCTATTTCTGCTGAAACAAGCAATTTTATGAGTACCCCAGCAGCATGAAAAGGTCTGAAATGCTCTTTGCTAATCCCAAAGTACCGAAGAACACAATGTGGGCTTGAACCAAGCTTGAATGCATCTGAGGCACCTGAACGCACCTGTCACAGTCACATGCGTTACATAATGCTTTCTGTTTTGACCGCGTTTTTTGTCCTAACGCATGCATTCCTTCCTGTGACCTCCTGTCAGGTGCGACCGTTGCTCTCCCTTATTCCTCACCTTACCTGGCATTCCTCAATACAGTTGAAAACAGTCTTTTTGATGTTATAGCATGTTTTTTATGCCTTTGTACTAAACTAAGCCCAGTTTACTGATACATCGGACCGGATGTTCAAGCCATCCCACTCTACGTCTACTCAGGTGTCTACCCTACTGCGTTCTGCCATCTCTAGGTCAAGTTCACGAATGATACTCCTTGCCCTCATCTTTGCTGTCACGATCGCCATTACGCTAGGTCTGTTGGCTGTCCAGAGCCTCCTCTCTGAGAGCAATTCCGCTACGTTCAACGTCCTCCGTATTGTTCTGTTTGCCCACATAGGAATGGCGGGAATATATGTCATGGTTTCTGCTCTATGGGACATTTTGGAGAGACGCCTGGCAATCAAAGAAAGCAGAATTGGCCAAGGCGAGGTTGCTGCCGCGGAGGGAGGAGATGATGGTGAACAGGAACTAAGTTCACTGCCGGCTTCAAACCTCCAGGTGAGTGTCGTATATCATTATCATGATATAGCCCGCATTTGTTCATTGTTCCTTTCAGGCATTATCAAATACGGCATCCCTACCATCGGAGAATGGTATGCAGGTGTGAAAGAGGTGATGTTGATATTCATAGCGGGAACTCTAGCGCATCTATACCCAGCTCCAGTTCCTAAAAACGTACAGAGATAACACAGGGATATGACAGGCTGCGTTTGATGTGTGTGCCGTTTATCACCCTTGAACAATGAACAGGGAATGGATGAATTGTTATTATGTGATTGAGCGGATCCATGGCTAAGTAGTGAGAGGGAGCTAATGTTCGCTAGGAACTGCGCAGATAAGTCGAGGGAATAGAGCAAGTGCACGTATAGATTCTCCTCCATGGTCACTTGTAACGAGAGCTCTGCATCAAAGCGAAGTATCGTACTAATAGTGTTCAATGAGGACGGTAAAACGCACGTGGTAGGAAGGAAACACATACTACTTTTGCTGCAGATGCTCCGGCCATTAACTAGCTTTGAGTGGGGTGGTCCAAATTTCGTAATTCTTGGTCCACTGAGAGTGAGAAAGGTCTGGGAAGGATATTGTTATTAGTGTGGAGTGGAGAGAACAAGAAATAGGTTCTCGCAGACCTCAGTCCGTGGAGATTGGTAACGAGCTGCGGGAACCGACTGTCTTCACCGTGATGGGTACGTAGACTTGCGGATGCATATAGAAAGCGTAGTCGACCCTTGGCAGCGGATCGAATGATTCGCCGGTTCGAAAATTGAGAGGTAGGATTTCGCTCCTCGGAAGGCGTAAGCAAGTATGTCCGGTGTTTTGCTGGGTTTTCAGGTCGCCTACACCTACTGCTCGTGTTTGTTGGCACGGCGTTAGGATTATACGTGGGCAGGTGGTGATGACTGGATTTGGAATGAAAATTTCGCGCTTCTCCGATGGACCGGCTCCTCCTGATCCTGACGATGATCATCGGCAAGCCGTACTTGTGGCCTGATGTGGGCGCAGGAATCTTTCCCAGTGAAAATCAGGCCTAGATAGATGTTATCCATCTATTGACCCAATACTCCGAGATGGTATCGTTGTTCTCGCTTCTCCGAGTTGCTATCGACACTATACGAGGGGTCGTCTCTTCGTACCGGCGTGTCATCAAGAGAATAAGGCAGTCTCCCGGGCTCCCAGTGTTGAATCCCACCACGCTGTTCTGGTCGATCCCAGCGTCGCCCATCCAAAAAGAAGGCTCGTCAGCGGAGGCTATACCGTCCATTTTGTGCACAAATTCCCTGTAGCATCAGGGAACGGGCTTGTACACAAATCCCTGTAACTACAGGGAGCAGGATTTGTACACAGCTCAGGGAATGGCTTGTAGCACAAGCGCTCAGCTCGTGCACAGCCACACCAGAGTTGTCACGCTTAGATTTCTCACGCTTTGCTACACCCTACGCTCCGCCCCTCCCGCTCGTCGTTGCCCGCTTCGCGCTCTATTTTTCCCCTTTTGTATTGAGGCTGTATTGTCCATTTATTTAATGCATGTATGAACTAGTGAAAAAAGAACGTTTCGAGTGGATTTCCGGAATTTGCTGGATAACCCCTAAACTGACTGCAGCAAGCAATGGATCGCAATTGTACAGCCATGAAGTTCTTCCATCCCTCTAAAATCAAATATATTGATGTCTATTGGCATTTGTATATCATGTATAGCTTAGTTATCCATACATTCTAGCTGATTCATAGATAAATATGAATTATGGTGTCAAATGCAAGTACTCTGCATCCTTTATCCCATAGTACATGTTCAAATGAGAATGCAGAGTCAATAAAACTATGGATTTCATCTATTCTGAGTAGTATATATCTGAAAATGTACCTGCCCTGACACCATGATACAATTTTATTTTGGTCAGACAAAAGTGCACTGAGGGTGAATTTCTAACAGTTCTTCTAAGCAATGAAGTGAGTGACGATGTTTCTATGAGAAGATCACTGTGGATCAGACACTTTGTTTGGATAGTATACTACATAATCTTTCATATGCAGCCCATCGTATTCTTTTCTACGGTGTATAGAACAGCATACAATGAATATATGTGAGCAAATGAACCAAAATGCGGTTTTTCAACCGTAAAATGAATATTAATCAAGGCTGGGATGTATTTAATATATAGGAAAGTATAGAACTATACTGTATAATACAATATCATTACATTCCGATGATTCTCGGGCCTTCGGGATGCAGGAATGGAGCAGAGGATGCATCCCCGGTATTCATTCCACTCGCTCAATCGCTCCGGTCTGTGAAACCGCAGAGTGATCAAGTGGCTGTGCCACTGCTTTTTCCGCTTCTTTCCCTCAATACGCAGGACGACGATGGTGGTGGCAGTCAGGGAGGTAACAGAAATGGCGTGAGGAGGAAGGCCTTTAGCATGAAGCACAGTCATGAAAAATGGTGGCCAAGGGATGGAGGGGGAGTGTAACGAGCATGCCGATGGAAACCCGACTTCCACTCAACCCAACAAACCACAGCCCGGAAACCTACGGATTCCGATTCCCACTTTCTATTTCATATTCCATTTCATATTCCTTTTTATATTTCACTTCTCCATATTAATTTATCAATAGCCTGACATCGGTAGCGAACATGTCATTGGACCCCATCAGCTACCGACCGGTAGAATACATCCTCTGACAACCCTAGAATGTAGACCACTCTGAGTAGGAACTAGATCGGACTCCTAACTAGTATATAAGCCTTAGAATTACACTGTAGATACTCAGTTCAAATATCAACTTGGTTCAGCCCAATCTCTCTCTCTCTGACTCTAAGTCTAACTCTCGTTCTCCAGTCCACGGAACTCCAATCCGTTGGACTTATCTCTTACCTCGTCTCTGCCACTCCGTGGACTTCTGTCCATATCCATCTTAGGGCTTTGGCTCAGGGGTGATGTTGCTAATAGCTTCGCCTACACCCAATGCATCCTGCGGCATTCTGCTATGTGCACTTACTACCGCAATCTTATTGGCACGATCCTAACAGTATATTCAAACTCAAACCCTTGAGTCGAAATTTCTTCCTAACCATGTCTTCTACTTTTACTGTTCCTCCAGAAACCAGCCGCAACTCCACGGTCAACAACCGAACCTACACCATGGACGATATCCCTGCCTCTGCTTCAAAAGAGGGTCCCCTTCTCTTCGGATCGGATTCCGCCCCTTGCCAACAATCCCATAGGGAAACCTACCTTCACAGTGGCTTCACTGCTCGCCAATCAGATGCCAACCGATCACCTAACCCCTTCCTAGCCCAGCGATCAGAATCCAATGGCTGGGGCGAGTATTGAAGTGACCCCCCTCAGAACCCAACTACCTCTCTGTTCGATGACATCCCAGGTTGTGATGACGACGATGACCAAGGTTCAGAAGACGGGGAATTCCCCCCTCACATGCCAATGAATGGCCACGGAAACCCATCAGGAAATCCTGGCGGTGGCCCACCCAATCCTGGTGGCCCCGGAGGTCCTGGTGGTCCTGGTGGTCCTGGAGGAGAACCTAACAACAATCCTGGTAACAACCCTAATCCTCCCAATAATGACGCCCAGATCCTCATTCAACTCATGAGTGTCCTCCGCGGCGTCTCTGATGCTGTCAATGGCAATCGACAACGTGCGGTACGCACCAAGGTCAAGGAACCAGATACCTTTGATGGTTCGGACTCCCGAAAACTTAAGGCCTTCATCGTCTCCCTCCAGTTGAACTTCAACGACCGTCCCGACGCCTTCTGATCGGATATGGCAAAAGTCAACTATGCTATCTCCTTCCTTTCCGGTGTCGCCCTTGACTGGTTCGAACTGGATATCCTCCACCCTAATCACCGCAACCCCCCTGCTTGGGCATATTCCTATACTGCTTTCCTTTCAGAACTCCGCACCAACTTCGGCCCCTTTGACGCTGTCGGTGATGCCGAAGATGAGCTTGAAAATCTTCGGATGTGCGACGGAGACCGCATCATGAAGTATATTGTCAAATTCAATCAGTATGCTGCCATTATTGGTTACGGTGACAACTCTCTTCGTCATGCCTTCTACCGTGGCCTTTGCTCTCGCATCAAGGATGATATGGCCCACCACGGGAAACCCGATAATCTCCGTGATATGTGGAATCTTGCTCAAGAGCTCGACGCTCGCTACTGGACTTGGAAAGCCGAAATCTCCCAAGAAAATCACAGTAACCCATCTTCCTCTTCCAGCAACAGCAACAAGGCGAAGGGTTCTAACTCTTCATCCCCCAACTCCAACTCTGTGAGCCAAAAGTCCTCCCACTCAGGCTCCACGGGATCATCTTCATCTTCCCCCAACAACTCTTCCTCTTCCAACCCTAAGCCCTATGCTGACAAGCTAGGCAAAGATGGCTGTCTTACTCAAGAAGAAAAAGACCACCGTCGGAAGAATAACCTCTGCATGTTCTGTGGAGGTAAGCACAAGACCGAAGATTGCAACAAGCGCAAAGCTGTGGCCACTGCTCGGGGTCATGCAGCTGCAGCTACTCCTGCCCCTACTCCCGAGTCCACTGCCTCTATTGAAACGGTTCCGTCGGAATCGGAAAACTAGAGAGCAACCCTGTATCCTCCGCACTAGGACAGGGTTGTGTTGACTGTCACGGTGCACTGGAGATCATAACCCTCAATGCTGCTGCTCTTTCCAATCATTCCCTAACTGTCTCTCTCTCATCTGAAGTCGGCTCTGGATCAGAGTCCGATGGTTCACCCATTTCTACTATCCTTCGTTTTCTTGCACTCGTTGATTCTGGCTCTAGCCACTGCTTTGTTGATTCGAAGTATGTTGAGGATCACAATCTCCTTACCAAATCTATCCCACCTGTCCAACTTCGGCTTCTCGACAGCTCCGTCGGATCTCACATCTCCCAATCCATTTCCCTTCCAATCCATTTCCCTTCTGGAGACATCCTTCCTATTGACTTCTATATCACTCATCTAGATTCATCTTGTAACGTCATTCTGGGATACAACTGGCTCTCCCGCTACAATCTGTTGATTAACTGGGTAAAGCACAGTATCACTTTCTGTTCACCATTATCAGTTGTTTCTTCTTCAAGTGCTTCCGCAGCTGCTGACACACATGTGCCAGTCCGCTCGGACTCTTCCAGTCCAATCCAACCATCCCAATCATCATCTTCCACCCCAAAATCGAGATCCCGACGGGCTCTGCCGCCTTATGAACCTATCTATTCCTACCCTACCATTCCTTCCTTTGGTGCTTCAGCCACCCCCAAGATATCTATTATATCGGCTGCCACTTTTGTCCGAGCTTG